GACGGGCAGCAGTCAGTCCAGGGAGAGAGAGAGGACAGACGGGCAGCAGTCAGTCCAGGTAGAGAGAGAGGACAGACGGGCAGCAGTCAGTCCAGAGAGAGAGAGAGGACAGACAGAGGTCAACGAATATTATTAACTGAAGAACATTTGGCTGCAGCTCTTAAACCCTCCAATTGAAAAACCGGGAGCTCAACGGGAATCTTATTTTCATGCTTGCACGGCGTCTCTACGTGAACACGGGCTACCCATCCCACCCTTGAACCTGCAGACGGCACCTGGCATTGACGATGTAGCTGAGGTCGGGGGGCAGGGCTCCGTTGTTGGCCGCCCGGGCAGCCTCGGGGTTGGAGTATGGCTTGGGGAAGTAATCGGACAGCTTCCCCGGACGGGTGAACATCTCACCATTCTCGTCGGGGCCGTCCACCACCTCGATCTGCAGGGGGCACAACACCTCACTCTGAGCACGTGGAGAACAAAACCTGTACCTGAGCAAAGGGGCACACTGGCGGTTCCCCCTCCCCGGCCCCCCGGCCCCCCGACCCTGAGCTGGGAGAGGTGGTCAGGAAAAGAAAGGATGGTCACCTGAAAACATCCGGCAGAGAAAACCTTAGGAAACTCAAACGCTTTTCTTGTTTTAGAAACACGTGGAAATGAAAACCTGGGTCAAAGACCTTCGCACGTCTGGCACAATGTTTAACGAGCAGCACGTTCCCGATAACCCTACATCCATGTTACGCCAAACAATGTTTTGTGGATTAAGTGACGTACAATGAATTGGGTAACTTGATTTACACTACTTGTGTAGCAGTCAGGGCTTTGGACTTGAGACTGGAAGGTTGTGGGTTCGAATCCCAGGTGAGACACTGCTGTGGTGCCCCAGTACAAGGTCCTTCACTTGTAAAATACCCAGCTGTATAAATACACCTGTATAAATGTGTGTGAATAGAAGATACTTTGAGAAAGGTGACGGCCAAACAAATTAAAATTAAACACTTAGACCTAGTATTTTTAAAAATGGCATTATGTCACCAAACGCTCTGCTGAGCCCCGATGGTAATACCCCCGCTCATCGCACAGTCCTCTCCCACCCCACCCGTCACGTCGCGTTTGCGCCGTGTCAGACAGAAATGTTTTCCAAGGGGATGCATCTCTCTGTTACAACACACAATCTATGGGAATATCCCAGGAACAGATCCCGGACATCGATCTCGAAGACTTGCGCTACTGGATTTTTCTCCACTCAACAAACCCAAACAGAGGCCGACTGGAAAGAGCTGTATTTAAACCAGGAGACTAGGGTTGCGGGAGTCTGGAACAGGAGTCACTAACTAACATGAGCTAAGCCTGAATGTCCTCTTGTTGTGTGCAACCTGTCTGCTCTGTTCCTGCATGCTGGGATAGGCGCCGACTCCCCCGCAACCCCGCACTGCAAGTAGCGTTGAGGAAGCAGATGGAAGAATGTTCTTTCAGTTAGCAAGCATCTATCTTGCCTTCGTCACTGCCTGCAGCCAGGCTGTGGTGGAGAGACAGAGTCCCTGGCAGATGCATGGCTGAAATCACTCCGATTACAGGCAAAAAGCAAAACTGAATTAAAGAAGTGAACTTTCCCCATTAGACAGATTAAAAGTTTGGTCCAGCCTTGAATCCAGTCACCGCAGGGAAAGGCTTTTTATTCGTGAACCTGACTGTATCCACTGCCAGCTCACAACTCCACAGGCTATTGGCAGGTATCAGAAAAGATACATTTATTCAATTACCGCCAAGTAGGCTGCAAAATTACAGCAGATAAGCTCCTGCTTAATTTAACGCAGATCTGTATGTGCTTAAGGCATTAATTGTATTTTCAGATGACTGCCAAGGTTATAAAGATCAAAGCGCATCCCGCTGTTAAATTTAAAAAAAATATTTCCCACCAGTTTCAAAGCACAGAAGAAAAGGTTTTCAGCCCAGTTTCATTGCACACTGGCCACATTCTCTCAGGACACGGACAGCACTGTGTCTCATCTCTTCACACAGCTTTTTCAGCTTGGACACAAACACTCAGAAGTGGTTAATATATACCGAATGCCTTATTATTTTAATGAGGAGTGTTTCTAGATCAACAAGTTCCTGGTATTAATGCTGATCACCCTCAGCAACAATCCACTAACAAGCAGTGTAAATCACCGCAGCTGTCCTATATACAAAAAGAAGCAAAGACTTAAGACAGACTAACGTGAGAACACAGATCTGGATCAGTTCATTGTGTAATTATGCGCTTGGAGGAAGAGACTAACAGTTTTTACCAGCTTGCAAACTCCAACATGACAGGCAGAAGACGGAAAAAGCTGAATGCTTCACAATTTTTACCTTACGTGCAGTATACATAGACAAGAAAACAAAACAAAAAAATAAACAGAATGCATTTCATCACTTCTCAATGAATTAAAACAGAACAAAAGCTGATAAACCCCGAAACGGATCACATTGTTTTGCAGTTTGAACAGTTTCCTTACAACAGAAACCGGCCACTCACCTCCTCAGCCAGGGTCTTGACCTCGGCCTCCGTGTGCGAGATGCCCACCAGGTTGCGGAAGGCCAGGTACTCCATGCTGTGACAGGCGGCACACACCTGCTTGTACACCTGGTAGCCACGCCGGATACTGAGGAGCAACACAGAACAGAGAGGGAGCTCAGCACCGTCGACCGATAAAGCGCTCGCAGGCACACAGGCACGGCTCTGGGGAGGCAGGGACTCATATTTGGTTGACTGGAAGGAGACGTACTTCTCGTGACCCGAGCGCTAATTAGCAGGTTGTTGTACAGCAGCTGTGCAATCAGTTCAGTATCTGAAATACTGCAATTTGCTCAATAAACAGTATTGCAGAACAAAGTTATTCTTCAATTCTTTCCTGAACATGCAATTAATGTATTTTTGGCTGCTGTATCCAAATCCTAATTCTAACAAAGGCCACTCGTCATCACTGGACTCCAATGATTATGAGTAATAATAAATCATTTTATACAGCACCTTTTAAGGTAACATCTCAAAGTGCAAAAAAGTGAAACGGACAGAAAATTACAAAGTACATATAAGAAAGACAGTTGGTTAAAGGGGCAGCAGAAGTTAGAAAACAGCAGATACAGACACTAATTAGGTAAAAGCCTTTCTGAAAAAGTACCAGCCCACTCCTGCAAGCCAGGGTGGTGGAAGTGAAAATCAGGGGAGCTACAATGCTCAGGTATGTGGTGTGGAGTTTACAGAGTTTTTTTTTTGTCCTACCCAGACAGATGTACTCGGCTGTGCCGAGAGTCTAACACACAAAAAAAAATGACTTTACAGGCAATCAGGACTGGAAAATGACAAAAAACAACACTAGAAGCAACTGAGCCAATGGGACAGTAACACTGTGATTTGTGGCTGAGAAGGTATCGCGACTCCAGATAACTAAAGTACAAGGACACCGCCTCAGGTATATATTTAATCAAAGCTGGAAAAATACACCTGCATGATCCTTGCAGGTATCTGTCAGCCACAGCGGTACCTCCTTGGGGTTTCTGGAATTGATGCCTTGAGATTGCTCTCTATGGAAAGGCACTGTATGGGAATGAAGCTGACCGATTGATTGATTGATTGATTGATTGATTGATTGATTGATTGATTGATTGATTGACCGAGCACGTGGGCAGCACCTGGCATGGTCTAGCGAAGACAGCGGGCCGTTGTGGCTCCAGGGATAGGAAGGAGGGTGCAGCTCCAGCTCGGACGCCTTCACCGACTGGTTCAGAGCCAGCGCCAGGCCAGCGCCTCCTGCTGTCAGAAGGCCCAGCGTCGACAGCGCCATCTTCTTCCCCCGGGAAAGGCTGGCGAACGACATGTTGGCCTGGGGGGGGGGGAATGAGGACATGAAAACCATCGACCGTAAAAGCAACAAGCCAGTGTTGCACAGCGATCCCACCGCCCACACCACTGAGCAGACAAGCCCAGCACAAAAAGGAGAGCTTGTAACTGAGGGCGGCAGACAAACACCCTTCCAAGAATGGTATCAAAACATTGACTTTTTTAACGATATTCAGTTTATTCATCCCAGCAAACATGATTTTCTGCAACACGTGGAGCCCTGTCTCCACTGCAGATTAGACACAAGACAGCGGGGGAGGGGAATGGGGGAGAGACGGGACATTTCACTCATTCCCACAAGGTGGGAAGGGATTATTTCATACCTTACTAAATGACGAGCATTGGTTTTTATTTCTATGAATAGAAATAAAAAGCAATGCTTGTCATATTGTTTTGTGCATATAATGCTGAGCTGTTTGCAACTTGGCATCGGGTTTGCATCAAAGTAATAACACTGGAATGCTTTTACACCCTAATATTTAAGGCAATTAGAAAGACTAGCCAAACATTTTATTTAGTTCATAGTAAGACTATATAGTAGAGGTATGCCTTATGTCACGTAAACAATACTTTTCATGGACTGTCACAATGGGATGTTGGTTTTCACCAGAAATTTAGTTTTAACGTGTCTGGTGGTGCAATTTGATAGCTCAGATCCTTCTTCGTTAGAAACCGCACGAATAATTACAAGTGATTTTATTTTTTTCAAGGCACCTAATAAAAGCTTCAGCCCAGTTTGCAGTGATGTAACGCCTACAGCCGCCGATTCACCTTTCTGCAGATGAGGATCCAAACCAAGATAAACGTGAAAAATCTGATGCAAACTCTCGCGTATGACGGATATGGATGCAATTCTAGCAGATTTGTCTATATGGAAAAAAAAAAACTATACCAAAAACTGCACAACGCCAAGCAAGTCAACGTCTGAAGCATACCTGTGATCGATTAACCTACGGAGCCTATTTTACACTATAATTCCATGATGTTGAACCAATCGCGCAACGTAGCGAACCAGTCTAATAGTTATCCGGAGGCTGAGGGTGCCGAGTCAAACAGCAGCCGGTACCTGTGCGCTGAGACCCCTTGGCCAGGACAGCCTCAGCCCACATGAATGACCTTGTCTGTTCCGACACCAACGCTTACATACAACCCATCCCACACTGGGTATTACAGCAAGGGCACCCCGGACACCCCCCAAAAGAGGTGTGCCCTAGCTTTCCGGGGGCTGTCGACGGCTGCTTACCCGGGGAGCGTGAAGGGTCTTCGGGGCGTTCAGAAGAGCCCTCCCGGTCCCGGCCGACACCACCACTCGCAGAGCCGCCATGTTCACTCTCTGCCACAGCGGACGTCCGCCGGCTCTGTCCCCGCCTCCCCAGCACCGCTGCCAAGCCCGCTTACACAACGCTTACACAACGCTGCTCACCGGGGCAAAAATTTTTTTCAAACTGCTGGTGAATTCGAAACGCATTTTAAAGCTGCCTCTAAAAAAAAAAAAAAAAAAAAAAAAAAACTAATGATCTTGAATTAGTCATGTTTTCATAACGGGCGGACAAAAGGAACAGCCCGCCGGATGTGCTCACAGCGCCCCCACACGGTGGGGAGGACTTAATGTCTCGTCATCCTCCTTGCACTTCAGAGCTGCGACGGGACAGAGCTGTGTCAAGTGTCGACGGGCTGGGTTAGCGCCGCTGCCGCACAGCTGTTGGCTCTGGGTTTAATTCCGGACTGGGTGGCGTCTGCACGCTGCATGCTTTTCGCTCCCATCCTGGTGCTCTGAGCACTTGCCAGCTTGGCTGGTTCTCTAGAACATCCAAAGATGTACTCTTAGCGTTTTTGAGTGTTTTTCGCTCCCTGTGCTTTCTGGGTAGGCTCTGGGATGCTGCGATCATTCCCAGGAACGCTCAGCGGTGTGACGACGGGCCTGTATCCTGAATCCTTGAGGCTCAAGCTGAGAACGTCTCGCCTCTCGATGCTCGTCAGCCTGAAGCATCAGGTGAGGCAGGCAGAGGCCTGCGGACATAAATTCGGCTTCACTTCAGAAGTGTCCTCTCACCATCAATAGGACAGAACGAGCACAAGTCCACTGGGGGACATGTAACGGATAGGCTGTATATTTGGGGGTCTCAGAACACCCACACATGAAGAAATACAATCTCCATGGATTAACCCCTGCGGGACCGGACATGAGCCTCCGCGATCACCGCGTCTGTGTCTGGTTCTGCCTGAGTGAGGGCTCAGAGGTGCTGTGGCCGTCAGCACAGCTTCAGGTTCACAGCTGTCCAGCTGCTCCAGAGTATGGAGCTCGCATGGTATCCCAGTTTTGGGGTGAGGCTTCACCAGGCACTCTGGTGTCCACTCCCACTTGCCTGGCTCCTCTGAAACGACCCGGCCCCCTCCGCCACTTCACGGGCACAAGTGTCGGCTCCCGTGGAAAAAGAGGGCTGGTCCTCTCCATCCTGGTGCCCACGCGTGAGCGAAGAGGCTCTGGGCACACAGGCCAGACCTTCAGGGAGTTAGACACTCCACGACGTTCCAGCACATAACCTGTAAAAATATTGGTGTGTAAAGGAAATTGAGGAACACTTCAAGCTGTCTGCAGACTGGTGCCGCTGAGCTACTGCCTCCGTCTGGCTCTGCCTTCGCCTTCTGCAGCTTTGTATGAGTGATGGCATTGTACATCACACCAGTCAAATGGCTTCATAACCGGCAATATAATATGCACACTGGATCTGCATCTAAGAGGATATAAATATAATATACAGCACAGCCCACTGGCAGCTGTGACAGGAAGACGCATAGTTATCATGAGGCTTTTGTAAAAAATGACTTTGTTGGCCCAAGTACTGAGACAAGCACAATTTAAAGGGAGGCCTTTTTCCCAGTTTAGTCATTAAATTATTAATTATCTTTGATCAGTAAATGTGAGTCTGGGCTAGAAACAGCCCCCAGAGCACTTAAAGTCTTTACACCTTTCAAGCGCCTGCTTTTAAGCTGACCTGCTTTTCAGAAAGAAAGAACTGACAGTGACCTGTAGAGCATTCTGATGTTAAAAATCTTAAAATATGCTGCTTCCTGCCGTGTAGTCAAATTAAGCAAAAGACCAATTAGTTTCAATGCATGGACTTCTTGTATCAAAACATGCAAAAAAAAAAAACATGCATCTGTCCGGGTCTCTACAGAACAGGTCAGCTTTCTAAAAGGGAATTTCAAACAGGTCACAGGCAGATTTTCAAAATCCCACCATCCACAGACTTGTCTTATTGCTGGTCCTGTTTGGGCAGTCTAGACTGTGGGCTCAGGACCATATCCGAGACGATGGTTCAAACAAAGGTTTCGACCGCTTCATACACCCCACCTACCAGGTGCCACACTACAGATGCTGTTGGGTTTGTGGCTGCTCCATTTTATGCCTGGGGTTTTGGCTGCTCATTTTAGAGTGTCAGGACCTTTTTTTTATATGCGTTGGGATGGACGGTGTACATCCGAGCAACCCATTCAAGCATGAATCTTCAGAATGCACGCAACACGGCAACACAGCATCTGCAAAAGGAGAGTTCTTTTAAAGACTGATTTAGTCAGTTTATTCTCATCCCAAGTTTCCTAGGGAAACCTTTTTAGTCCATCAAGTTACTTTTGCCCCTCAAAGGTGCAGCCTGTAAATATCGCAGAGGCTAAAAGCGATCTCCTTAAGAGTCCTGTCCTCCTCCACACAGACTCACAGCAGTTTGATTCCCAGCATAAACAGTGGCTGGTGGAGCCACTCGAGGAGCACAGGAGCGCCAGTTTCACTGTACAATCCGCGCCCAAACGTGCAACACCACCCCTCAACCACTGACAAGCCCCATCTAGTTCAAAACAAGAACAAAATCGATAACCTCCCAGTGGAGGTAATGCCCAGGGAAAATCCCTACATCAATGTGCCCTGGCCCCCACAGGCCTTCAAAGTGTATTTCAGCTAGTCAGTCCTCACTCTCGATGGCCTCCTAACTAGCGAGCGGAGAGCGGTCCTGTCTATTAGCAGGGAATACACTGCACACTGGGAAATTAAACACTGTGCAGCCTCACCTGGAACTGCACTACAAAACAGAGGAGCTGAGCTGGAATCACCACTGTCTGTCCCCATCTGTCGGAAAGTCGGCCTTTATTCTGCTCCCTGCTGGGTATTTTGCGTTACAATTCGTGCAAAGGTTTGGGTTGGCAGAGCACAGGGAAAATAAAGAAATTGAGCTACAGACCATGGAACCAAAAACCTACAGTGGTAAGAAAATACCACCAATTTAACGCAGACAAATTAACACCACCACTCCCCCCATTAAAGACAGCATGACTCCGTTCTGCAAGCAGACTGGTCAGAGAACGAAGGGTAATAAAGTCAAGACCTGCACATAGAGCTACTGAAATACTTCAGGTCTTTAGTGTGTCAATAACACTAAAAAATGTAAAATTACTCAGGCTTTAATATGTTCTAGCAAGCAACAGATTCCAGCTTTTTAAGGGCTACAAAATGTCCTTCTGCCCTCTCTCTCATGCAACCCAGCTTTGCAGGCTCCAAGTGGGATGAATCCTCCCTGATTCTGGATGGACCCAAGCCCACAGTCTCCTTGTCTGCTGACATCACTCTGTCCCAGGAGCAAGAAGACCCACTTTCTTGCTCCAACTTGCCCTTCAACAGCTCTGGCTGTTTTAATACATATGCTGCCCTTATCGTATCCCCCGCCCTGTACTGGGAGACAGGCTCCCACAGGGCAGGTGTGATTGTGCCGCGTTGAAACCCAGCATGAAAAAGGAGAGTGGCATTAAAATAACTGTGTAAATACCAAATATTCATTGAGAATTAAAATGATTAACTGTTCTCTTTGGACCATACTGTTTATGTTTGTGTTGTGAGGATCTTTCTACACGCACGTCTGTACAGAACATTTACTTAGAATAATCGAGGGAAAGGTGTGCAGGCAGCTCTGGAATTAAACAGTTGAGACTAAGACATCTGGGCAGATTTACGAGGCTTTGCACCGAAGAAAAGCTTGCTCTACTCTTTGCATTCTCAGGGGAATCGAATTCTGCTGATCTGTAAGAACAGGGCACAAACGGCTTTAAAATATTAATTACAGAGTTCTCCAAAAGGCCTGAGTTATTCAGACCCCAGAATGCCGCGCCATCAGCTCTAAATTCATTTCTTTTTTTTTCTAATAAAATTGAAACAGATGGAATTTCGCTTGGTGGAGAGCTGAACCAGGACGACTACATCATCCATACTCATTTCTTCAGCGTCGCCCAGGGCGTGACTGCGTGACTGGGATGGAGGCGCCGCAACCCACGGGCTCGAGACGAGGGGCCGTGCCCACGGCCACTCCTTCAGCTCGTCACGACCGTCGCGTCTTTACCGCAGCAAGGCCGTCTCGTGCGCGAATCCGACGCCCGGAGCTTCGCAACGTGGCGATCAAAACTCGACGCCTGAAAGAATTTGCTGGTATAAGTACATGTAATTTCTACGCATAGATTACTTGTCTCGCAAAAGCAGACGCGAACTGTAAATGCCCCACCACCACCAATGTTCTGCAAGCTTTTCCAAAACCATTGGAGGAGTAAAATCCACAGACATGCCAAGATTTCCAATATAGGGCAAGAGCACGGGAGGAAAAGAATACATTTAAAAGTAAGGTTTAGTACTTTTAGAGTTGGAAGAAATGCTTTGTTCGGGTTTGGAATAGATTCCAGCGTAGCTGTATTCATATGCCTTCACGAGAAAAACATTTGATTTCACAAAAACAGCTATTTATTTCCAGAACAGACCTTACCCTCTCCGCCGAAAGTCTCACACACTAGATTTCACATAAATGAATAAGGGACCAGCCCCACTATCCACCGGCCCGTTTCAACACGATACCGAGAGTAGGAGCAGTGTAGTAACACTGCAGTGGTAGAGTAGGAATAGACATGCATTCTTTCGCGTACATTTCTCCACAACACCGGGGAAACTGTTTTACAGTCGAGGGTTTTATTAAAAAAAAAATCACGATTTCAAGCCATCCCGTGCTCTGCGATTCTGGAAAATCGGGGAAGCATCTTCTTGGAACTGACGTCATACTTTGCTTCGCGTGGAACGGCTGGTCTTTTCCGGAATGCGCGTGTTCGAGGCCTCAGGTGCACTACACCATCCGCACAGCAGGTGGCAGCCTGAGCCCGGACGCGCAGCTCTTTGGCTGATCCTATGTGTGATATCAGACATGCCCCTGCGGGGCAAGCAGGCGGGGTAAAGAGGGAAGCAACAGTGCTAATGAGCCCTGAGCCTGTTCGCTGCCCCCACTCCTCACGCACGTCCTGCTGGGGAGCTGCTGATGGTCTGAGCTCACACTCACTCGCCTCTCATGCCTGTACCTGTGTGCTTACAGCAGGCAGACTGGCCGGCGCTGGGTCTGCCCGCAGGTTAAGGAGAGAGGCGAAGAGACCTGCAGAGAGCCTGCTGTGCTTGTTTAAAGAGCTCTCCTTCCCCCAGAGAGACCAAAGCCCCGTGCAACACAGGACCTTTAGACTTTTTTGTTCACAGGCTCTGAAAGAACACAGAGCTACACCTCCAACTCCCCTATTTCTGTTCAACTGGAAACACCTGCACACCTGCACCCCTCCTGGCGATGAGCCAGCAGCCTGTTCCACTCAGAGGTACAGTCCCAGCCAGGGGAGTCTCAGGGCTCAAGTACGGACGTGGCCCGGACCCCATCTCCTGTTACACTTGTACCTTTCAACTTTTCCAATCCCTTAAAAAAAAACGTCAGGGCCGTTTTGCCCTAGTTGGGTTGAAAACAGCTCGGTGCTGCTCTCGGCTTGATTTGAGAAGACGGGTGTCCTACCCATTGGTCCATACAGACGAACAGCCAATGAAGTCTTGCACATAGGATTTTTAAAATTGGCATTACGTTGCATTGCAGCAGACAGTACATATTTGTGTAAAAAATGAGTAATAAATATTGCAGTGATAAAAATCAAGACCTGATTTTCTATCCGAGTTTTCCCAATAAGACAAGTGCTTACAAAACAACCTGGAACACTCGTCCAGCGCCTGGAGCAGGTGTTCCCCCTCTCTCACTTCAATAAGAGAACCGAGATTCATACATAAAAATAGTAGTGGTACTAGATACATGAATATCAAATAAGAACAAATGCAAAGAAAAATCAGAAACAATGAAAAAAAAATCAATATTACACATCCTTGGGTTCCTAATACATTTTTTTAAATCCACCCAGCACAAACATGAGCTGTTTATTGCAGAAACGGCCCGGGTCCCCTCGGGAGTGCAGTTCCTGTCTGCTGCTGCACGGAGCTGAAGTGTTCGTCTGCAAATGATGAATCTTGTTCGATAAATGTAAATAACATGAAAAATCCATTACACATTTCGCAGATAAAGGGGGCAAAAAAATCCTGATTGTTTTAGCAAGAGAAACAGAAATCCTTCTAGAGGTAATGTATTTACGTGAATGCCATTAAATTTTAAAGCAGACACGAGTTCTCTCATTCCCTGAAGAGCTTATTTTGCCACATCTCCTCCAGTGCTCTCACTGAACCATCCTCCATGCAGAGAACAATCTGTATCCAAGAACATAGACTTCGCTTTACTAATCACCTTCTGTGGAATGTACTTAGAATTAAAGCATCCCTGGTGAGTCGCTAAAGTCGTGCATGACGTTTCAAATGTTGTCCAGGAGATGCGGAGAACAGTTATTTTAAGATGAGCAGTGCTGGCGTAGAATGATACAACTGTGACAAAGCACTGAGCACAAAGTGGAGCAGGCACAAACCCACCCAGTCATATATTTGGACGCCTGGGCTAAGGCAACATGCAGGGCCTGATGCAGACAGCCATACATAATGCATTTTTATGCAGTATGAAAGTAGGTTAGGAAAACTAGACAGCTGCACTATTTCAGTGTCTGTGGCTCTAATGGGCTGTACTGCTCTACAGAAAGGTTTATGTGGAGTGAAGGCAGCCCAGGTTTGGACTCACAGGAATCAAATCACGCCTTTAATCAGACCAGATGTGGGCTGTTTGTTGAGCAGAAGGTTTGTAGAGTGTCTTTAACTGCTCTGGAAGAACACTTACTGTATATTTTTAAAAATGTCCTTAAGGACTTGTCTCTAAGCCCAGGAAGATGAACAGCAGCGCACAGTTATGCAGATTCCTTTTAACTAACTTCTAAGAGGATTTACAGTTCTTCTAAAAGAGAGCTGCACCTGAGCTTAATTAAGGCTCTGTTCAGATGAAGGAGAATATTGCGTGAAAAGAGGGCTGAGAAAGAAGAAGATAACAAGGTCTGGAACAGCAGAAAGCAGGGTCACTGTCATTGCAGCTCACTGTGACAACATTGACCTGCCCCTGCCTAACACAGCGGGAACTTTCAATTTAAATGAACATCACACCTATAATTTAAAAACCCAATGCAATAAGAAACAGATACTAAATAGCTTTTGTTTACTCATCTCAGGGAAGTTTGCCAAGGCTTGAATTATGCATGGATGTATTTATACCCCGTCGAAATCCTTCTTAAAGGAGAAAATTATTGATTTATTTATTTCCTCTCCTTCAGTTGGGGCTCCTCCTCTCCAAAATCAGCTGAGCCTGGAATGATGGCTTTCTCTGGCCGGGACCGTCCTCCAAACAAGATTGTGCAAAAAACAGAATAAACCTGCAGGCACGAAAACAGAGTGATGGCACTTCAGTCTACCAAAAATCTCTTAGACAGGAGCAGGATGAAAGACAGATTTCATGATTTTGTTTACATTTATTTATGCATGCAGGTCTGTGCGATTTCTTTTTAATTTGAAAATGAAAGGAGTCAACTAGATTGGCCTTTGCTTTTTTGGAGTTCATCCGAAGGAAAATCAAAACAGGTACAGGAGGGAAATCGATACATTATTGATTTTAATGAATGATCATTGTATGTGGACATGAACCCTCGGAGAAGCAAAACAGACATCAGCTGTAGGGAAGATACTGCCAACAATTTGGTGCTTACATTTTTACATAAAGGTTATCCAAAATTTCAAAGAAACCAGATTCAGCATAACTTGCCTCGAGTCCTGTGCTACAAAGACAGTCTTGGGACTCTGGACTGGTAGTGTTTGCTTTCATCAAACAGCTAGGCAAAGGCAATATGAGAACATAAGAAAGGTTAAAATGAGAGGACACCTTTTGGCAGCCCACTTGGTAATTAGTAGTTAATTGTTACAAGAATCTCATGCAGCCATTTCTTGAAAGAAGCCAGAGTACCGGCTTCAGCAACATGACTAGGTAGCTTGTTCCATACTCCCACAACCCTTTGTGTACAGAAGTGGTATTCTGCTGTCAGTTTTAAAAGCACTTCTATGTAGTTCTGGCTTCTGCTTATAGCAAAGTAATAATGAAATAAATCTGACTGAGACATTCAAACACAGACACTTTGCTTTGGACATTACAGACAAAAAAATGATCCGCCCGGAAGAGAGGTGTGTCTGACTCTCCGGCTGTCTGGTCTACAGAGCCTAATCTCCCAGCTAGACACGACAATATTAAGTGACCTGAGCTGGCCAGGGAGCAAGGGCTTTGTGTGTTGGAGGTAGACACTGTCTTATTGCTGGTACAATATTAGACGACCTTCACAGTCCTTGACCTCTGCCTTAATAAGACCGCTGTCTTGCTGGGTCCCCCTGGAGCTGTGGATTCGACTTCCAAGCGAAAAGCCCCAAGCGTTTCTGTCTGCGGCCAGCCAGCAGTCAAAACATTGAAGGCAGCTGCACAAGGCTCTGTAGATTAGAAACAAAAGCCTTGTAAGGAAGGGGCAGCGGCAGGAGAAGGCTATTGTCATGAGAAACATGCTTCATAAACCCGCACACCACCCTCTCTTCTGCTCAGACCCACTGAATATTTCAAGAAGCGTTCGCCTGGTGTGCACAAGGCAGTTGTCCTCCTTAAGTGAGGCCAGGAAAAATGGGAAAACTGTGCTGTTGTGGGCTTTCTGAAGTGTCCTGTGAATGTGCAGCAGAGAAAGCCTTTTTTAAAAAGTCAGGGAAGTCAATAAGAACCTGCAGCTCCTTCACGACTTCATCTCTTTTATATGATGACCACCTGCCCTCAGGGAGCTGGGAAAGAGATGCTGAACGTCCACTGGCTGGGTATCGATTTCCACTTCCTGTCCCCGAGATTCCCAGGCATCTGTGAGAGCAATGCTTGCTTTCAGACAGCCCGGCGTTTAATTATCTCATGGCTGGTTTGATTATAGCTGCCTATTGATCCTGAACAAATTGATGTAATAAGGTATAAATGAACCGTCACCAGGGGAGGGAGACACTCGCACAGAGATGGAAAGGAAGGGGGAAAGGGCTGATCCCTTGCTCTTGATTCTGCACACTGCTCCCTGGGGCTTGTTATCCAGCCTGGGAGGGCTGGGAGAGAGGCAGTTGTATCCCTGCAGCCTAGATGGACCTGCAGAAGCCGTCCCGAGCGCCGGCCTTTATTTAGGAGACCAGCCCGTCCCTAAAGCTCAGGGCGCTGATTTATCTAAAGGGCAAAGCACTGATCCGAGCTCACACATCAGACAGACAGGAGGTGTGCTTGAGCCTTTTTCTGATGGATCCCGGTCTCGTGTTTCCTGCTGCCGGATAGTCACATGCCCTGCAGGTGCAACCAGTCCGGCAGATGGAACGAGTGCTGAGTTAGTGAAGTTAGAGACGTGTGGCAGCCTTGGCCACTCGCCGCTACACTGCTCCTGTTCCTGACAATACGAACCCCCAGTGTCCCTCCCGGGACTCCACACACAGCCTGTATAACGCAAACGACCCACAGAACCCCATGGATTGAAGCCCCTGTGCCATTTCCGTTTCTTCTGTTGGACACCCACAGCCTGTGGATGTTCCCGAAGAGTTTGGCTGTGCTACATTCACGTTCTATTTTATTTGCTGTTTCTATTCAAGTAAAAACATTCCACCACCGGGATTGGATTCAGCGTTTCTCAATCGCTTCTGCTTCATTCCTCGCTATTTACAGACATCTGCACTGACATTGAGCCCACACAAGCTTGCTTTTAGCTAACGTCTTGCATGGCACCACAGCCACGCCGCCTCGTTCCCAGCAGGGGTTCATGGAGCTCTCCTTCGTCAGGATTCATCTCTTCTTCAAGAAATCCGTTCTGTTTATGTTAAAGGGCTCAAGGGGACGCTGCTCTTCAATGTATTTTGAAATGTAAAGCCTTTCCAGGTGACTACTCATCGAGGGCATGAAGCAGTATTTGGGTTTTGGCACTTGGAGCTGTGCAACAGTGGTCACTGAGGCAATAACTCCAGCGGTTTCCATGGCAGCTGTGTCCACCCTTGACCACAAGGTTAATCCTTTGTGCCCACTGCCAAGGCCGGGCTCCTGGCATCACTACTAAATTCGTTTTCCTGCTGCATTTACAGAAACTGACCTCTCTCATCCTAATGCACACACCGTGTGGATTTTCCATCTCATACAATATTCCTTTATTTTTCCAATTGAGAACTAATAGTCATTGACAGTGACAGTGTGGAGACCCATTGATCTCAGCTGGGTGGTGTGAAGAGCAATAACAGGGGCTCACCTGGGATAGGAACTCCCAGCCCTGCAGTCGGCAGTCCTGAGCCCTGACCACAGCTCCACTCTCCTGCCCTGCTCACTCCCTGGAGACACGGTCCCATTTCACAGCACAGCACAGCGCTCTCCAGTTCAGTCTCTGGCAAGAGGTAAGAATCATATTGAAGACGCAGGCAGACGGGTCTGGGGACTGTAGTTTATTAAACAATGGCAGCATCAGGATCTTAATATTTTATTTAAGGTCACTTCTGAACATGCTACCCCCTGTGACTACAAATAGAAATGTACTTGATTAGGTTGTTAGACGGCACACCTGTGAATTGAGTTACCAACACCAGGGACATGAGTGCTGAATAAACTCACAAACAATATCATTGTCAAGCAATTGCAGCTGAAGAAACCATTAATAAGACAGGATACATTCTAGAGTAACACCGTTGGAGATGATACCTGTGTCTACGAATATGTTCACTGGAAATGTTTCTGTCAGGTTGCAGAAATCCATACGTTCTGGAAGAGAGCTGCTGTCTGAACGAGGCTACATGCCAAATCTGAAGAAACACAACTGTCTTCCCAAACACAGCAGAGTCTAATTTCCATAATGACAAGTACTTCCAAGCACCACTCAGAGATAGCAACTGCAGGGCAGGAGCCAGATTCGCAGAAAATAAGTCTATTATCCTGTGCAAATTATGTACCATAATTATACCCATAATGAAGATTCCATTAAGGAGGGATTTTGTTTCATTTCAATGCTTTTGTTGTTTTAAGATATTTTTTAACACACAATAGGTATTGTCGTCATCAGTAAGGTGTAGTCAACCTTCCCTGTTGCCGACACGAGAAGCGGAAGCACACCAGACCGCCCTGGACAGGTTTATTCTTCTCCAGCTGGAGATCCTCAGATCGTGGGGGAGAGCTGCTTACTCTGAGCCTTTATTAAGGCACTGCTGAATGGGTGCATGATCCTTAATCAAAACTGTGGAGTGTCTTTCAGACATTGGCTCACAGTGTGTTTTAAATAGACAGACTTGTATTGCAGGGGGGAGATCGAATCCAGAATGCCCTATTTTGGTCTCTTGTAAGTTGCAGAGGTTTGTAACCACAAATATCCCTTTCTTTCCAAGGGACTGTGATCGTTTTGAATGGATCTATTGTAGAGCACAGGAAAGCCATGGGAAAAAGTGTGCAGATCTTGTAAACTTTGGAAAAATGTCTGATACTGTAAGAAGCGAAGCAGTCACTTGCTGAAACAAGTCAGGTTTGCTGGAGAAGTGCTGGCCGGGGTTTCTGGGTCTGTGCAGCTGGGTGCAGGAGGAGTCAGGATTCCTGGGCCTGAGGCAGCAGAGGTATCGAGGGCTCGAGGCAGAGCAGAACAGCAGCCTCGTATCTCGCCAGCGCACCTGTGAGCCCGCAGCCTCGCCAGGCTAAGTCTGCTGTGGGCACGAGGAGGAATGGGGCTTGATTTATTTAAACAAGCAGCCCCCAGAATGCAGGTCTGTGGCCTCAGACTAAGCTCCGCTTTCCGCCTCCAGCCACTCTAAGGCAGCCAGACTGAGCTCCTACAGCTGCACAACCGTCTCATGTCCACAGCGATCACCCTGCCCGGGCCAGCCGGAGATCCAGGGTGCTGGTGCTGTCCAGCTCGTTCCCGTCCCTCAGACAACGCGATCAGAGAGACCGAGCGGAAGATCACTGGTTCATCACACAGTAATTGCTTTCCACCCTCAACAAGGGAAACAAAAGCCTTGAATGAGAAATCTTCTGTATTTCTGATGCATCATTTATGAACAGCCGAGTTAGATTTCGACACTCTAAGTGAATATTAAATGTATTTCTTTTTTAGCTAATTAGCATCTCCTCACCAGCAGAGACTCTCTTATTTTCAGGATAATTGATAAATTAAAACCAAATTGCCTACGTGGGCAGGATTTTAATGAGGATTTTTATCCCACTGCTGCTCGGAAGGGCTTCATCTCCACAAACCTGAGGTTAATGAATGTTGCTTCCCGAAGAACTGTGTGGCCGTCTTTTGCGCCATATGGTTTTCCATGTTGTGCAATTAATTAAAAAAAAAAACTTACGGAGTGAAAAAAATCCCAAACATGCACACAAAACAAATTCTACCAAAGGTGAGGGGTGCTCATTGTGTAGCATGAAGTGGGTTATTTCATATGGCTCATAAAGACATTTCCCATTATGTTTGTAATAGGATTCACAGGCAGATACAGTTACAGTGAGCACATTTTCTGCAAGGTTTAAACCCATTTTAATGATGTAAAGGTCAGCAGAGGGAACTTGTTTGCTGATGAGAGGTGCTGAAACACTGCATCATTCCCAGTGATTTCCCGGTGGGCTACACTGTAAAAATGGGTTTATTCTTTACAGGAAATTAGCTGCTCCACTAAAGGCCTTTGCCATCTGAGCTCCTGCGGGGAGATTGGAAACTTTAGCGATGTTAATCCCTTTTTTTGGAAGTTACAGCCAGCTTGATCCGGGGGGCTCTGGCATCGCCTGCTGCCTTGTTCTGTAGGTGCGAGCCCGCTCTGGCCGGGGAAAGTCGGCGGATTAAAAAGTGAGCCTGGCGGATGACTGGCGGATGCCGGCCCGCGCGCCAGGCCAGAGATCGCTCCTCATCCATCACGGCTGACACGCAGGCAGGCTCCGACACAGGACAGAGGGAGAGCAGGAAATGAAACACTCGTTCTCACCCTCGCCAGCCGGGGGGGAGTAAGGCTCTGGATAGGGAGCTGCTCCAGCTAAAGCACTCTGATAAAAACAGGCTTTGTTTTAACACAAAGACCCTTCCTCTCCTGATATACGGGCAGAGGCGGGGATCGTTTTGTTTTTACAAAATTCCTATCTAAGCAGGAAGGCTTTGGTGCGTGTGCTGGATACGCCGGTTAAGTGCTCGATGGATTTGCAGCACCCGTTCGCTTGGCTGGACTCCTGACGCAGGCGGCAGACACCTGGGCTCCACAGCAGGAGAATCCAAGGGGAAGCAATCCCGCCCCGTGGAGCGTCCCTCCTGGCGCGATGACGCCACCCGCCCGGTGATTCAGTGTGGTTGATTCATCCCACCTGCGCGCCTGTGTGAGGTCACTGCAGACCGCGGGCTGGCCCCGAGCCCCATCTGACAGAACCCCTCCGCTGCATCTACGCACGTTCCCCTGTGGCTGCAATGACAGACCCCTCGCCGGCCCAGGCCCCTGCGCGCTCTTAAATCCACGCCTCGGCCTGGCGTCTGCGGTGCCGAAGCGAGGCCATGTGCTGGGTGGGAGGCTGCGCCTGGCCCTGCCAGTGTCCTCAGTGGGTACAGCTATGCTGCAGGCGCAGAGGCGGGGGGGGGCAGCCAGCGAGCTGAGGGTACAGTTATGGATGTTTTATTTCTCCTACGCTGCTGGTGCTGATTACCTGTTGCCGCTGCAGATCTTTGTTGTCTGCGGCTGTGTGTTGGCAGCACTGTAATGGAGCCCTGTGAGTGGAGCTGATTGGGTCAGCAGAGGCTGGGCAGGACAGGCTCGTCTCGCTGCTGCCCAGTCCATACCGTTCCCTCCCACAGGGACTGACGGACAGGGAAGGGTAAGGGATAGAGGGAGGCAGAGAGGAGGGAGGAGCGGGAAAATGAGGGAGGAAGAGAGAGAGTGGACGAGGGCGAGGTGAGAGCTCGCCTGTCTGTTGAATCTGACTCTGTCCGCCACGTCATTTCAACCCCAGCACTTCTGAGTGTGTGTGTGAGAGCCCGCGAGAGACACACAGGGACTCTGAGGGGATGAGGAGGAACAGGAGGAACGCTTGGATGAAAAGGCCACGAGAACAATAGGGCTCAGATGACGGCCGATCACACAGCGTACACTCTTCCTCGCCCGGGTCTCTCCTCTGCCTCCCTGCGGCACCTCTGTCCCTCTCCTCCCCTGGAGCTCTGGCGAGGAGGCAGGGGTGGTGGTTGCTGGGGGGGTTAGCACATAAGAATAAAAACACATTTTCTCATTGCCTGGTTCCCCCTGGGGTCTCCTCGTTTTCATATCATGACACACTTATGGAGAACAAGTGAAGGGGAAAGGGGGGAGGGGACACTGGATTCCACTCACAGGGATTTGTTTTACAGTTGAAAAAGAACAGAATAGAAAAATAAATACCATGTTCGGTCCTCCCTGCAACAGGACACCAGCTGGCTGGAGGACCAACAGTGCCGCCCCAGAGATCAGCTGCGTCCAGTTCTGAGGTCAGGCTGTCTCCTGCTATTCTTTCTTACCCTCCCTTCCACCCTAAAACAGCAGCAGAGGAGGAAAGAAAGGTTCTCGGCGATTCTAGCAAGGCAAAACGGCTAAATAATTTAGAGCAGCCTCACTAATCCAGAGCCTCCCGAGCTGGAGTCTGAGTGCAGGGCGATGAGCAGCAGACACCCAGAGGAGAAACCGGCAGCCTTTTCACAGCCACACGCCTGAGGAGGGGGGACGGCGAAGCCCCCTTTCAACTGCTGCAGATCCGCGGCAGACGCCGACGAGTCGGCACCACGTCCTGTCCGGGCGGTTAACGAGCCTCCCGAGTTGGAGACGCGCTCTCTCCCGGACCTGTCAGAGATATTTGCCAAGAAAATAACAGGCCTTTTCTTTAAAGCCAGAACTGGATTCTCTGGCTTTCATTGAATTCACCCACCTCCGCCCTCCTAACTCCACCCCGTGCTTGCATTTTCCACAGGCCCCCGAATCCGGGTGTCCGTGCTCCCGCTGCCTCACACGCACCAGAGAGCCCTCTCCTGCTCTGCTCCGAGGAGGACCTCGGCGGATCTGCATCCAGCGGAGGGTTTGCAAACGAGGAGCGTTCTGCACGTCGCCCAGGGCTACATTCCGCTCATTTTCGCAGACGCTTCTGAGCGCCAGAAATCTAATATTTGTTGAAATGACTGATTCAGCTCCACATCCAATACCGCGGGCTGGAGCCGCCGCCTTCTCAGTCACCCCGCCTGGGGGCAGCGCCTGCTGCCGCCTGTGGTCTTTATTCTCTCATTTACATTGTTTTCCGTCACAAATCTGGAATATAGGATTTACTATCATCTCCCTCTGAGACACCTATAATGCGATAAGAACCCACATTGAGATGAATTTCTATCTCATAATAAGATGGCATTATGCAGCAAAAAAATGTGCAAAGCCTTGAAGTAATTTTGTTCTGTGGACTGCAGAATGTACCTGAAGCTGAAGGTCTTTTTGAAATCCCAGGGTAAAAAAAATGTCATTTGCACACACTGTGCATCTTATCTGATTAATAAATAAATTCCATCTAAGCCCTTTTTCTTCTCTGTTCGGAGTGTAGTGGCTTGTTATCACTGTTTCTGAGTTTCGTTTTACTAATGCACATTCCGAGGAATGAATTGTGTACATACCCATGGCAGAGAAGCTGGAAATCTGGGACAAGCAAACTGTTCCTTCATTTAATGAAATCCGAAGATCCTACCTGTGCCCCATGCGTGTAGAGGGACAGGGTTACTTTCCAGAAGTGTTGCAGAAATGACTCACTCACTATGGCAAGGAAATTGAGAAGCCGATCACTCTCGGAGGACGTGCTGCCACAGTTTCATAGAGAAAAACTGAGTCCTGACCTCTCTATAGGATGTATTTCCCCAGGCTGTGAAGCAGGTCTTTTTGCAAACTTGGGTTGGATCCTACAGTCTGGGCTCTGCAGCCTGCGCAGCTGTAGGTCCGCCTCAAACGAGCTGGGACTCCAGGTCTTCATGCATAAATGCAACCTGTTTTGAAACATAAAATATTGAGAAAATAGAAAAAAGTCATCAGTTGGAGGAAACTGTATATTGCATTGAATGAATACATGGAGCCTGAATAAAAAAAATCATTGATCTTTACATCTCAAAATCTATTTTAACAAGGGCTGAGGTAGATAATTGAAATTCTTGAGTCAGATCACTTTTAGGATGTAAAATATGCACTCTAAATTAAATTCCCTTCACAAAAAATTAAATGCTCATGCTTGCATTTTCTATGATGATGTACTTAGCCGCTTTTGGTGTTCTGAATCGAACGATTTACTAGCCTTGGAAATTCTTTTCAAGTTTTAGTGATATAAAAGAATATAAATCTAACTGACTGGATCAATAGGTTTTATCTAAAAAGAAAAAACAAGATATCTGACTTCCATATAAGAGCAGGAGGAAGATCTCTGAGGTTTTGAGTCAATTGCATGTAAAATCAAGGCATGCTGTAACCAAGGTTGCCTGCTAATGAAAGGACCTCAGTAATTAAGTATTTATGAAGAGTTTTTGAGGCTCCAAGAGAGCAAAGAGAAAAGCAGATCTAGAATTTATTTCCTCTCTGAGAGATTAGATTAGAAACATTGTGAAAAAATGCAAATATTTACATATGCTTCTAAATTGGGTGCAGCAACGCCTCCATTATATTCTGATTATATTATATTCTGCTTTCGTCACATGTCAGGAGCCAAGCAAGGCTGGGCCTGGTCAGTATTGGGACAGGAGACCTCTGAGGAAAAACCAGATCACTGCTGCGAGTAGTGTTGGCTGACCAGTAGGTGGCGCTTTTCTGTCTGTACGAGGATTTCCAAACCAGAAAAGTGTAGGTGTGTTAACCCTGGCGTCCCGGTTAAATTCCACTCTCGCCTTGCACAATCTGGTCGCTTCAATTCACCCGGTGAAGCAGGGGGGCTGCTGAGCATCAGCTGGGGGGGTGGGGGGTGGGGCTATGCTTCAGAGGTGTGTATTGTAATTGTAATTGTTTTCGTCTCCTTTCATCACCTCCCAATAAGAATTTGCTGTGAAATCAGAAATGCATGGGGCTGCTGTGCAATGGGATTCTTAAGTCCATCCTTTATTACCAAAATCGAACATATCTGAATTCCAGTCATTTGCCCTCCACAGTTGAAGGGCGGTGCAGAGAGAGGCACTATCTCACAAGGCCTGGCTGTGCCTATTGCAGACCAGTAAGTGAGCCGGAACCATTTAAAACAGCCCATGGCTCCAGGGTCTGCTCACTGGCCAGAGAGCCCCGAGTCCCTGCCAGGACGCTCCATTCAAAACAGTTCTCTCACGGATCAGAAAGTGCTGCTACAGTAGCACAACTGAGGTGTAGCCACAGCATGCACGCACCTCACCTGTGTTACAGGAGCCCCACTTTATTCATCCATCTATGTTCCAACTGCTTTATCCAATTCGGGGTCACAGGGCAGCCGGAGCCTGTCCCAGCATGCAACAGGTGCAAGGCAGGGTACGCCCTGGACAGGGCGCCAGTCCATCGCAGGGCACACACAATTGGATAATGGCCAATTAGCCTGCCAGTGTGTCTTTGGACTGCAAGAGGAAATCAGAGCACCTGGAGGAAACTCCTGTAAACACGGGGAGAACACCCCAGGTCTGGGATTGACCAAGGCTTCCTGCATCAGTCTATGAATTCCATAATAATTCAGACAGGCTATAAGTTAAACAGGTTATAGGTATAAGTAAACTCTTCATACTGCTTAAGCTATTTCAGGAGCTAATGCCTCCTCGCTCTGTATACTGAGACATGCAGTTTTTATGGGATCCCTTTATTGTATTTTTTCTATATTGGATTTTAGATAGACTCATCTCTCGTCTTAAAACCTGTAGATATGTCATGTCGTCAATTTTTGAATGACCCGCTCCAAGCGCTTTGAAACCGCTTCCCATCAATTATTTAGAGACACTCTAAACAGCATTGCATCCTCCACAGAACAGGAAATATCCTGCTTAGGAGAACAGGTGTCTGCGGGAGCTAGATAATACGATTTTAATACTGTCCTGGAAATAATGCCCAAACCTCAAGTGCAACAGTTTGCAGTAGAAGTGATTATCTCTGCCCATGAATTCTTCCTGGCACAAAATCTGAAAGAAAATGAACCAATCCTTTTCACTTGCTCTTTTGTGAAAGACAGCTAATGGATTGTACGCTAGAAAGTGTTATTTTCTTCAGGTATCTATCGACAGATCTCTTAAGGCACTCCTCTTAACAGACCGTGACCAGTAAGTTCATTAGACAATTTAAACAAACGTTCAAGTTCGTGTAGACTGATACTTGCCAAGCTGGAAGCTATTAGTTCTCACAGCTCTAATGTGGAAGTGACCGGTTTTTACAGAATTAGGAGAACACATTGATGCCTGAAGGTAGTGTCTGTGGCTTTTACAAGTTGCCACTGAGCGCTTGTTAACATCGCTGACGCTGCAGTGCTGCCCCTAGGGACACTCAGGTCTAGACACTTGCCACACAAGTTCGGATTCATTTCTAAGAGTTTAACTGCCTGGAGCTCTAAATTTTGAACATCAAAATGCTGTCTCATTGTCTTGTTGTATCGGCTTATGTCTTGGTATACTCCCCTTCTCTTCAAGATTTCTTTTTGATTCATTTCTTCTTTATTGCAGTATTTTTGGTGTGAAATAATGAGAATGAAGCATTGTTACGCACTAAAAATGAGGAATAAGTTCTATACAGAGTAAGCATTCTTCTCCATGGCCGGGTCTGTCTTGCAGTATCTCTGCACGTGGCCTAAGGATTCTTTCTGAATCCTTTCATTCATTTTTTATGAGTATCTGCTTTTGTGGTGAATCGCTCCGTCCCACCTGCAGTGCTAGAAGACAAGGATGAGCTCAGTCCTGCAGCTCTTGGAAGATGTGAAGATGTCAGGGGGTCAAAAGGGGGTCAGGTTCTTTTCTTCTGACACAAGTTCAATAATTTTCCTCGCTGACCCCACAGCACTATTCACAAAGTAGCTTCACAAGGTAAAGGTTGATTCCACGCTGCAAGGAAAAGAGAAGAGACACAAAGCTTTGGCTGTGGAGCCACCTGTTTACCTGTTTCATTGTTATACTCTGATGAGCGTCACAAATACATCATATGTGCGCGGCCAACACACACAAACATCATAGCTCACTTCGATACTTCACATTTCTAGAACAGCCGCTAGATAGAGTACAATTATTGATTTGGAGCACCTAGAGTCGATCGCAAGCAGGTTGTTTCAGCTCGCTTTTCATTACTCACTCGTGTTTCCCTCCTTCGCAGGCCCTAAGCTCTGTGCCTGCAGTGCCTCATGGGAAATCCGGCACCGCACGGAGCATGTTCCGGCTAGTGCCCTATCTTTCTTTAAAAAAGTTTGAGGAGTTATCGAGATTATTTCATGCCACTCCGGCCTCTCTTTACTTGTGCTCTGCTGACAGGTTCATCGAGGTTTTTGCTCTGGAATGTGGTAATCCCCAATTTAGGTCCCTTTTTGGTGTGAATAGGAAATGAGGGCTTTTTATGTTCTAAAACTAGCAACTTTCATCCCTGACTTTGAAGTTTTTAAATTAGCATTATATTCCACTAAGATGCATTTTTTGCCTCCTGTTCGCAAGATTTCAGAAAGAGCAGGGCACAGGCAGCGCATCGGCAAGAAGGAGCAAATGAACAAGAACACTTTTTTCCTCTTTCATGGATTCTGTCTTTATGCATATAAAGTAAAGCAGAACCGAAAGACATTCATTCATTAACCAGCTTGTTATGAATAAGAAATGAACAAACAGCGAGGGCTGTTTCCAAGCTCATGAGCGTCAGCTGGGCTGACTTGATGTTACTTTGGTGGTGGTGACTGTAGCTGCTAAGGAGCTGTGATTAGTGAAGACCCCGAGTTTCACCAGAAAGCAGCTTTCAGAACCTCTGCTTAACGATCACTAGATCATCCCCACTCATCCTCCTCATTAGAATCCAAGAACAGCACAGCGAAGTCAGGTTTCTAGAGTCCGGTCCAGCACAATTCACATCGCCCTTAAGCTACAGGACAGGAGCTGGGTGATGGCACAAGCAGACCTCAGATTATATCGATGCAGAGGATTTCACACCTCTTAATCAATCAATGTCTCGGCAGCACTGCTCTGTGGCTTAAAACCGCAAAGCGAATATAACGACAGCGTGCTACAGCCCATCCATTGGATTTCAATGGACTGATATAGAAACCTGATGATTCCTTCAGCACCTCTGCCACTTCCTAGTTATCCAGGACCACCCACTTGTGAGTGAGCAGTGAGGAACACCCGTTACACGTCTATAAATGTAGCCCGCAGCGTGGAGGACCGGCGAGGGCTCCGGGGTCAAAACTAGAAGGTTGCGGGTTCAGACGCTGCTGTTAGTGAACAAGGACTCAGACCCCTCCAGTAAATGATCCAGCAGGATAAATGGAAATGAATGTAAACCAGTCTGGACAAAAGCAGCCAAACTGCTTGATAATGAACAAGTTAAATTTAAAGGGGAAAAGCTGTAGATGAGTTATACAGCCTGTGTATATGTCTGAAGAGTATTAACAGAGTATCCTTAGCCCACTTGTAACTGGATGGTCAACTGCATGAATGATTATTAATATAAAGGTTGGTTTTACATGTACAGATTTTATAAACAAGACGAAAAGCTAATGAGCAATGCATTGTGCATTTTTAAGTGTCAGTTGTAACCCTGTGAACTGAAGTGTTACCATTCAGAATCCAGGAAGAAAATATGAACAGTTATTTAAAGAACAACACAATCTAGAACTGGGGCAGGCAGTGGTGCTAGGAACAGAGACACTATGTATGGAGACCAGATCTGCATGCATCAGCGGTCTGCAAGGAAATTCCAGGGCTATGTTGGAGAACATTGTCCTCCTCCGAATTTATTTCATTAGGGATAATAAAAGAACAATCAGACAGATCACACAGAAGTCCCAAGACACAGCTGCCTGCTACCAGCACAAGACAAAGGAGAGATTCACTGATGCTGCTGTGTATTGGCAAGAAACACAGACATTTTTTTAAATATAAAAAAATACTGCTTAACAAAAGCTATCATTCTTTTGACATAAAAGAGAAATTGCCTCTTTTCTCCAATTCGCTCCTCGGCTGCTTTTCTTCAAGGCATTGTTAACAATGAAAGGGTAATATATTCAAGGGAGAAGTCATAAAGACCTCAAAAACATTATTTTGCACATAAAAGGTTCTTTGTTGTACCCTTCTGGTGTCGGCTGTTTGCTACGTCTTTCAACTTGTGCTTCGTGTCAAGAAGCGAGCTTTTGAGCAGTCAGTACAACTTTGTTAAACTTCATGAAAACGAATGCCTCAACACGCAGATGACACTTTTCCCAGATTTGTTCTCCTGCTCAAAGGAAATTGCAAGACGAGGGAAGCGGTTCGGGTCTTGTCGTGGCTTCGCTCACACGCAATAACGCCTGAGCCGTGACACACCGAGATCAAGTTTGTTTTCCAGCTCTCCGCTGTGAAGACAGCGATCCTCTTAGTTTTATGTGTCTATAAATAAACAATGAAAATAATGAAATCTTAGCCCTTTCAAGAAAAACAAAAAACAAGTAGCGTTTCCTCGTGTTCCAACCTGACTGTTTTTCCTGGCCCCGAAGTTTGTCTTCGCTACACAGACCGGCAAAACCACTTTCATAAAAACGTTATTTACCTTTAGAGACGTGTCGTTTCAGGCAGCGCAAGCGAGAAAAGTTGGTTCATCACAATGAACCAAAACACTCAAAAGCATAAATAAGTGCCCACGTAAACGGAGCCAGATTGGCGGTCCGCTTCCTCTCAGCACGGGTCATTTGTAAGGTCTGCGCACAGCGCTCCGGATATCCCCCGAGGCTAGCGAGCCTTCTCCCGGGAGGAGACAGTCTCTCCTGCGGTGACAGCTGAGGACATCGCCGCCAGAGCACTGCGGCGCCTCGGAACTTAAGGGCAATGCGCGCAAACCGAATGACACTCCGGTGTCCTCCGGGGAATTAGGAGTTTCGTCGACAGCCATGAGTAGAAAAATTAGGTATTGGAAGCCTGAGGCTGAAGGGCCCGCAATTCAGCCCGTCGAAACCCGACAGTGTCAGAGAGCACCCGTCCGTCCCGGGACAACTCCAACAGCACCCAAACTCCCAGTCCCTCAGCTCTCCTACTTACCCGATCAGTTGCACAGGTGCAATGTTTCCTAATTCATATTAAAGGGTGTTAAAAGAGCGCAGCGGTTTCGGTCAAGTCAAGCATCTGGAAACAAACTCAGAAACGTGTGGAAATGAGCGTGTGATGAGATTGCTCTGGGGCAGGTTCTGGGCACGAAATTGCAGGGACTGGTACGGCTACGAAGGCCCCAAGCAGCACCTGAGAATAAAAGACAGGACTCGTGAATTAAACTTCTGTGTTCGCTGACTCAGATAGAGAGCGCCTCTCCTAATACGAGTGAATCAGCGCTTCAGCGGAACCCTGGCACAAGAATAACGAATTGTTCATTAGATACACGCAATTTCTCCAAGAAGAAACAAACTTTGCAATAACCAAACAAAAATGCCTACGTAATGACTTCCAAACTGTTTTCATTAACTGAGTCCTTTTCCTCTCTTTGTTAGTGCCAAAAGCACACCTCCTAATTTCTATTACTGCATGGGTGCAGAAAGAACGGCATGCAATGAATTCTACCTACTCTCTCTCTCTCTTCTTCTTGAGAGATCTGTATGTTTTTTAGCTTGCTCAGATTTATTTACTTTTTTTTTTTGCTCTGAAGAGAAAAGTCTTGGAGATGCAAGGTGTTATCCGAGAACTTTTAAACGCGACGGAGGAGGAACCTGAAGAAACCAGACGAGACAAACCAAGAGCGACACATGCAATCGGCGGTGGGCGATCGCGCAACCGCGTCCTTAAGCGCCTCTCGCCGCGGAGCGCGGCCGTGAGACAGCAGGGTACACGCCGCACCGCCAGCGCACCAGCAAGAGCAGTGATTAAGACACCTTCAGAGTCAATTTCATCCGGCCCGCAGGGTCAGGCCGCCAGGGGCACTGGCAATGTATCGCCCAGTCTAATGAGGGTCTATAATCTTGCGGCTCACCTGGGGCGAAAGGAGAGCTGTCAGACACGGGGAACTCGCACAAGGCCTGATAGCTCCCGCGTTTGCTTTGCAATTGAAAGACGTACTTTAGCTCCCAAAACGTCTGAAAGCCATTAAAGTATCCTATTGATCTGCCTGCACAAAGGCCAATGTCCAGCATTTCTGGGCGGGTCCCTGCCAAGCGCCCATTCAAACAGCGCCTGTATGCGCCTGCTCACTGCCGCCGTGACGCGGGGAGGCTCCGGGGTCTCGGGCTCGTCACAGCTTTCGGCCTTATTTTCGTGTTTTTGTATCTGTTGGGTTTGATGCCGGATGACAAGGCAACTAACAACGAAAGCGATGTTTGGAAAGTTATCCTCCTCTGGGATATAAGACAAGAGTCTCTTCATATTACTTCAAAATGCCTCAAGTGCGCATTTCCTTTAAAATTGTGCATCCTTTTTTTTCTCGAACATTTACAGAACAGACTACTGCATTTTCTTCTAAAACCCCTCTCTATTATTTTTTATGTTTTAAACGCTTCCCTCTTTCATGGCGTTTATTTCTGAGCATGAATAATACATGGCCTTTGCCTACAGGTAGAATTCACGTTACTGAACTGTAGCTGTTTATAAATAGATGGGTTTAAGTGGAGCAGCACCGCGGATCCGACAGGTGTTCCTGACTGTGAAAGAAACTGGCTTCTTCCAACCTTTGATTTCCCTTCACTAAACAGTCTAATATCTGTTACCGCAGAACTGCGGGCTCTCTCTTCTCTCCCTTTGAGCTAATCAGCACCGCTCTTAATGAATTCACCTTCACTGGAGAAGCCGTCGTTCACGCACAGGTTCACACACAGATGCAAAAGAAAAGCACAGCGGCCAGTGCTGCTTCCCTTACATTTCTGGAAGTGGCTCTGAGGTCATGCCGGCAGCC